ACTGAGCTCGCAAACACCAGCTACCGGACACTCGGCAGCCCTCAGCTGCAACCTCGTTTCCGTTTATGCCTCTTGTGAAGAAGTCCTGGGATGAGCTGTCCCGTGTAAAATGGTAGCTTTGCTGCCTCGCTCTTCCGTGCTGTGGCGTTCTGTTCCGGGAGCGTGGTCTGGCGCCGTGGCGCTCAGCGCTGTCCGCCAGCCTGTGGGGTCACCGCGCGGTGCGCGTGGGGTCCCGACCCACTTGGTCTCTGCGCGCAAAGACAGTCTTTCTGACACGTGCCCGCTGTCTAGGGGCGACGTTGAGGCCACTCCCGGCTTAGGCTCTGCTCTGTAAAGCTGGTGCGAAATACGGTTGATCGAACTCCTAGAATCCAGTTCAGGGGATGCTGGAGCCAGCTGGTCTCTGTCAGTCTGCCTGCCTCTTGAGGGGGCGTCATCGGGCCCCGGCTTTGTCAGCAGCAGAGCCTGTCAAGTGATGAGCGCCGCGGTCCCGGCGGCCCTGCCCTTGTGGGCCGAGCGTGCACGCACAGCGGGAGAAGCGGGCAGGCCGTCAGAGCGCCCCGGACCGCTCCGGCCAGCCGCTGCCACCTGGAAACTTAGCTCAGGATTGCACACACAGAAAAGGATTAAGAGGTGACCTCAAACGTCTTAAATTTAAAACGTCGTAAATGCGAAATGGCTTTTCTTTGGGAGTTACTAAGAATTCTCTTCAATATCGTAATACACACTGAGGAGAGTTAAAATGGCGCCTCACGTCATGGCCAGCGAAGACTGAGTCTTGAACCCGTGGTGTTCCTTGCCCAGTACCCGAACTTGCTTCTGTGTTAGCCTGGGGACTGAGCAGCACAGCTTGAATGGTGAGTCACAGCAGAAGTGCCCACTTCAGGGCCCACAGGCACACAGGTAGAGGAAAGGAGAACTTCACTTTGAACACTTTCAGTTGTACAAACTGAAATTGTTGCCTAGGGCACAACTTCGGTGATGATCCATCGAACCAGGGGACTTCCTCATTTTACCAGCCCTTAGATTGAGGCTCAGAGAACTGTAGGGGCTTGCCAGATTGCTCAGCATTGAAGAGAGGATTCAAATCAAAGTTAATGCTAGACAGGGGAAGACTTCCGATCACCTCTGAAGTGGCTAGGGCAAAGGATTTGAGGGAGGTTGGCCCCTGGTTCTTCACAGTTCGTTCCCAGGCCCTGGGGGAGGCGACGGGCTGCCATCCCATGCTGAGTGAGGCGTCGGAATTCCACTCAGCCCAGACTCCTGAGAACAGGGATGCCATCATTCATTTTCTGTGTCCTTCATGGTTGAATTGCAAGTAACACACATTTTATATATATTTTAAGAAATGTTTGTTTATTTAGCTGCTCCGGATCTTAGTTGCAGCATTTGAACTTTGGTTGTGGCATGAGGGATCTAGTTCCCTGACCAGGGATTGAACCGACGCCTCCTGCAGAAGGAGCTCAGAGTCGCAGCCACTGGACCACCAGCAAGGTCCTTTTTTATCTTTTAATTTGGATTTTTTTTTTTTTTGAGGTTGTAAAAATACAGATTTCTCTCTGTTTTCCCCAATAGAGGTCTTTAAAACTCCTATAAGGAATTTCCCCTAAGTTACCGAATTCAGAAGAGTATTCACCCTTCTATAGCATGTATGTTCACACTGCATGTGTATGTTTAGACCTGTATTGTCTCAGGACAGGTTTGGGGGGAAACATCACCTCTTAACAGTCAGGGGCCTCCATTATAATCACACCATGTGCAATAAAATATTGAGTTTATTCTTAAGATTATCATTCCTACTTTCAGTCTTCTCACTAACAGAGGGTCAGTCATATCACCTGTGATATAAAAGATGAATTAACATCACTTTTTTTGACTGAGGAGTTATTCTAAACCAAAACATGTTTTTCATAGGAATAATATTTTAAAGCATTTCTCGTCCTTGAATAGATATTGGCCAAACGTTAGGGGAGAAGGCAAAGGACACCTTATTTAGGACTTAAAATATTAGCAATAATCCACACATTGAAATGTGTGAAAATGAATTAAAATGTTTTTATTTAGATTTTGTACAGTGTCAAATGCACAAAGGACTTTGTAGATAATACTGAGGAAACCTTCTTCAGTAGAAGTTGAAACTTGTTATTGGGAGTCCATGCATATTTGTTTAATATCATCATGTGATTTTGGTGAGGTTATGAATTCCTAATAAACAAAGACATGTTCTGAGACCACCCTCTTAGGGAATGCAGTTAAATCAGGAAGCTTAGTGAAATTTAAAATATTTCTTTGTATGATAATACCAAGAGGAGACCAAATGGGGATGATTTTCCTGTTTTAAGAAGAGAATATAGTCACTCAGAACTTACAGATTACCTTGTCCATATTTTAAATAGCGAAAACCAAAACCTGTGTACTGCAGAGCTATACTTATCATGAATCCGTGAGTCCTCATTTATTAATGGAATTAAGAATTTTCTGGATTACAGATAGATACTGCATACTGTGTAATCTCCGCTGTGTTTTGCAGCAAAACACTTCAGTAGTTTCACCCAGTAGGAGAAATAAAGACTTCAGAGTGCCTCATGGCAATTCAGGTTGGCTTTGCTGCCTCAGGAGTGCTGGGGCCAAGCTCAAGGGGAGCTTGTGGTCCTTCGCTTTCTAATCATCTACCTCAGTTTAGCAGTTAAGTGTTAGTCATACCCAACTCTCTTCAACTCCATGGACTGTAGCCCGCCAGGCTTCTCTGTCATGGGATTCTCCAGACGAGAATACCAGAGTGCGTAGCCATTTTCTGCTCCAGGGGATCTTCCCGACCCAGGGATTGAACCTGGGTCTCCCGCATTGCAGTTCTCCAGGTGTGGTCCCTGGGCCACAGGGATCCCAGAAAACCTTTAAAAGGAGGCTTCATGTTCTGCACTCTTCATGGTGTCCCTGGGAAGTCCTCTCCCGTCGCCGGGCGGACGCGCGCCAATAGCCCAGAGCGCACGACTGCCAATGCTGGATCCTCCACACAGGCTGAGCCCCAGACACGCAGCTCAGTGTCTTCAGCTGAAAACACGCACCAGTGAACCAGTGAAGTCGCTCAGTTGTGTCTGACTGTTTGCAACCCCATGGACTATAGCCTACCAGGCTCCTCCATCCATGAAATTTTCTAGGCAAGAACACGATTGTGTTGCCATTTCCTCCTCCAGGGGATCTTCCCAACCCAGGGATCGAACCCGGTCTCCCGCATTGCAGGCAGAGCCCCAAGGAAGATACCCACCAGGCTGCCCAAAAAGTGTCCTTGATCTAGCAGTAAAGGCTGTTTCAGATCTCCACATGAAGCACTCTGGACGCCTTGATCGAGCAGTAAAGTTTGTTTCAGGTCTCCACATGAAGCACTCTGGACACAGCAGGCTCCTGCATAGACCACAGTCTCTGGAAGCACCTTGGTAACTGGCCATGTTGTGTTTGAATTCACTGTATTTTTCATGGAAAACCATTTTTCCTTGAAACAGACAACCAGCTTACTCACACTTGGGCATTTGATGGGCTTTTTTAAAGAAAATGAGTGAAATTATTAGCCTGCCAATTTGAGGAAAATAAGTTCGTTGCCATTGATAAAACTTAAGCTTTCAACTGAGAATCAGAATTTAGGAAAGCTTGTGTCTGCTTGCCACTGTGAGCTTGTCAACTTCCCAAGCCATTAGGCTTAAGAGATCGTGATGATAACAGTGAATATGATTTCTCCATATTACGTCTTGTACACTTGATTGCCCACTGTATTCTAGGGCTTGATGCTACAAAGTTGTTGGGGGGTAAAAGACCCATTCAGAGCACGAGGTAGACTTTTTAATAAGCTGTCATTTGTCAAATTCTGGTGTAGAAACAAAAATATCTACAATTGCAGAGGCTATTAAGATATTACGTTTCCAGTGGGCATTCTGTAGGAGGCTGGTCCTGCTTAACTGGCTCCAGCTGATGTCCCCTTTGGTGACAGCGTGGGTGCAGAAGCAGTCGAGTTCCCACTGTCTTTACTAAGCTCGCGTGAATGAGTTTATTGGTATTTTTAAATGAATTAATGAGTAAAATATTCGTTAAGCTGCCTCATTTTACTTTCTAACGTGGTATTGTAGCTGTAACCCACTTAAACAGAGTCTCTTTGGGGGTCCTGAAGAGTCCTAAGTGTATAAAGGGAATCCAGAGACTAAAGTTTTGAGGTCTGCCGCTTTCAGGCCTCATGAGTCAGAGTGTGGCCCCAGAAACCACCTGATTGCAGAAACAGCCTACAGGCAAGACCTTTCGGTGACTCTCTGCATCAGGGAGGCACTGCCTTCCAGAGCCAGACCTGGGGAGCAGCTTCTGGCAGATGGGTGCTGGGCTGCCAGAGATCCAGTGGGGGTAGGCCCACAGCCTTCTCTGCGTGGGTGCTCTCTGCTCACCTGTCTGTCTGCTGTTCACGGATTTTCCTGAGGAACGTGTTCCCGTACGCTTCAGGTGTCTGAAACTGCCTGGTCTAGGAGCAGTCTGGGCCCAGAGAGTGTAGGCTTGGGGGCTCGGGGGCGTCTGTCTGGGCTCGCCTGTACCCTCGGGTCCCCGCCTTATTCGTGCTTTGCTCCTGTCTCAGAAGATGACCACCTCTCACGTAAACTTGAGATGGGAGGATGTAGACAGAAATCATCCCACTGGGATTGTATTTGTATGTTTATCTCGAAAGCAGTTTGCACCTTTTCATTATGTCTTTCCTGTGGACTTGCAGCTGTGTGGAAATGTGTGCGTGGAATCCTCTTTGAGGGGGTGGTCGCGGGGGACACTCGTGCAGAGACTGAGACTCCCAGGGTTTGGCGGAGGCGGACGTTTTATACATTTTTAGTGGGGTCAGCTGCTCCGTCTGAAGTTGGTGACTAAACAGAGTCTGTTTGGATTAAGTGTACAACCAGACAGTTTAACATAAACTGTTGTAGCAAAGTCTTCCATTTCTCAGCGCTAATAATGATTTATTTTCTTCTTGTTTTCAGGGTGAATCTGTAAAATATTTCCTGGATAACTTGGATAAACTCGGAGAACCAGTAAGTTTTCAGGCAGCGTTTATGTTTATTGTCGCTAGAAAGCAGTAGCCAGGATGAGGAAATTTGGAGAAATTATGTACTGAGCCATTTCCTTTTTCCTCATGGCTGTATACGGATTGTTCTTGCTTCATTTTTTCCCTCCGTCTCCCCTCCTGACCACTGCCATTTCCATAAGGAATGCCCTGCCCACTGTTTCATGAAAGTAAAACTCTTCACAGAAAGAAGTTTATGCTTGAAAAGAAGATGGCGCATGAACGAGTCCATGTCGCGGTCTTTGCTTTTCTGTAAGCGGAGGTTGAACACAAAGTGCTGAGTTCAGAACTTTCCGGCAAACGTTGTTTTCCAGTTCAGGACCCCCATTTGCAGGGTTGGAGGGTAGGAGGTTGGATTCTTGAGGCTGTGACGCGGGCGGAGTCACCCTTGCCAAGGGAGCCGCCGGCTGGACTGTCCCGCGGTGCATGCCCTGTGGCCCTGAGCCAGCACAGGCCGGCGCTGGACGCTCTCCACATGGGGCTCAGGCAGAGGCCTCCCTGGAGGAAGCTTCACGCTGCTCAGGAGGCCCCTGAGGGCTGCTGCTCTGGTGCTGACCCCTCCCGAGCCTGGCTTCGTGTGCCTCCTCCTGAACCCTGTCCTATTGTAGAGCCTCATGTGGTCTTAAGGGGTCTTGGAGATGTTTAACCTGGAAATAAAATGGAAGGGGAGCACAGAATGAGCCCTGTTGAGGGTGGGAAGCAGCCCCGTGTGTCCGGCCGTGTGGAGAAGGACCTCCGTCTGCTCCCGCGGGACACGCTTTGCATTTTCCTGGGTGTGTTGCTCGGTGGCACTGGTCCTCCCTGCGCTCAGGGCGTGTCTCCCCAGACGCGGGCGTCCTCGGGCGGTCTCTGTGCAAGCCCTTGTGTGTGTCTGTTTGGTCCACTCCATCCACTTCAGTGAGACTGTGTGTGAAGACCCCGCTGTCACTCTTCCGTCACGTTAGATTGTAGTCAGCCTTAAAGAAAAGAAGTACCAGCAAAGTGGAGGGAAGCTTTGGTGGATAAACTCAGTTTTTCAGAGTTATTTCATGTGTTCCAGTTCAGATAGTGTGGACTGACCTGTTCTGGGTTCACCTTTCCGTGGAGCCTCCCTTGAGCACATCACTCATCACAGTCCCTCCTCTGCGTTCAGACCCCACCGCTTGTATTACAGTTGTTGACTCATGTGAGGTTGGCTGGTCTTCTCCCCTCTTTGCCTGAAGGCAGGGACCTATGTCTTGGTCCTGAAGAGCTGAGTTCTTGCTGCTTAGCGACAGGGCCTGGCACCTCTTTGACATTCAGCAAACGCCCTGCAGCCTGCCAGGCTCTCCTGTCCACAGCTGTCTCCCAGAGTTTGCTCAGATTCATCTGCAGACCAGTTAACGGTACACTACACTTTCTCACTATTCCTGAATCACTGAGCAGGAAATACTTTCCTCTTTTCCAGGAGTACATTCCGTCCCAGCAAGACATCCTGCTCGCCAGAAGACCCACCAAAGGCATCCACGAGTACGACTTTGAAATCAAGAATGTTCCTTTCAAAATGGTTGACGTGGGTGGCCAGCGGTCAGAGCGGAAGCGCTGGTTCGAGTGCTTCGACAGCGTGACGTCCATCCTGTTCCTCGTCTCCTCGAGCGAGTTCGACCAGGTGCTCATGGAAGACCGCCTGACCAACCGCCTGACCGAGTCCCTGAACATTTTCGAAACCATTGTCAATAACCGGGTTTTCAGCAATGTCTCCATAATTCTCTTCTTGAACAAGACAGATTTGCTTGAGGAGAAAGTGCAAATTGTGAGCATCAAAGACTATTTCTTAGAGTTTGAAGGGGACCCCCACTGCTTAAGAGACGTCCAGAAGTTCCTGGTGGAGTGTTTCCGCAGCAAGCGCCGGGACCAGCAGCAGAAGCCCTTGTACCACCACTTCACCACGGCCATCAACACCGAGAACATCCGGCTGGTGTTCCGCGACGTCAAGGACACCATCCTGCACGACAACCTCAAGCAGCTGATGCTCCAGTGACGCCCAGAGGCGCTCCGCCTTCCCGCCTTCCTGTGTTCTGTTTGTTTTATGTTTAAAATAGAAGTTTACAGCAGGAATTAGAACAGTCTTGATTCTGGGTTTAACTCCTTGGAAATCTCAGTCCTCCTCCCACGACTCCCAGTCCCTGGTGGAGGGCTGCCCGTGGTCGCAGCTCCGGCCTCCGTGGCGGGGCCCTCCTCCCGCCAGGCCTCAGACGAGCTGTCCTTCTGGCTTTGAACCTTGCGCTTCTCAAACAGTGCTCCTGTAGTGCCGAGTGTAGCAGGTGCCCTTAGCGCCGCAGGGCGAGGTTTTGCACGCACAGACCCTGGACCGAGCAGGATGCCTCTTGGCCGCCCGCACACGGCAGCCGCGCCTGTGCCCAGCCTTGGTGGCCTGTTGGGAAAGAAGGGCCATGGGGAAAAGTTTGCTCTGAGGGGTGGCAGTCCGTAGACTTCCCCAGGTTTGGCCTTCACATTTTTTGATTGCTCGTATACCCAACAGTTGTTCTGAGTTTCTGTGGCTCCTGAAGGCAGTACCCTGCATGTGTCTTAGTTTACGTCAGGGTGTCTCACCTGATGCTGGTGGAAGCTCACGTGTGGTCCGGTGTGCACGGGCACGTGCCATTCCTGGTGTTTTGATCAGAAGTCAGAAGAGAGGAGTGCAGGTCGCCTTTGTCATACTTAGATATGTCATCCAGGTGCCATGCAGGAAACACTGGCCATAGCAGCAGCTGGAGAGTGCAGCCTGATAACAGAGCTTGCTGAATACACAGAGCCCTTCCCAAGGAAATTTTGTTTTACTCTCAGACTTTGAGGCCCTGTCTCAGACGCGGTGGGTCCCACAGTGGGAGTCCCTGTCGCACCATCACGGATGTGGTTCTTTCACACTCCTCCCTGTTCCCGTCAGCTCCACATGGCAGCATTTATGGGGTGTTTTGGGGTTTTTTGGAGCTTGCCAAGGGCAATATTTTCCTGTCAAGACTATGCAGGAAGCCACTGTTTGAGGTTCTCGTTCCTTTTCGTTGTGTCTCTAAGAGGCTGTACGTGTTCACAGCACTGTTCGTGGAATTCTAGCTCTCCTGAGCTGTGTTTGGAAGGTTCAAGGATTCTCCCAAGAATGAGGAGTCGTGTTCCAGTTCCTGCTGAAAGATGGTTACATGTGACCTCCCCCACCACGCCCCAAATTAAAACGCACCCCCCAAGGAGCTTTGCCATTAACAGACACATCCTCCGTGAGTGCCTCAGAATGGCTGGTTTTCAGCATTACAGGGAGCACCCTGTAGGTTACGTGGTGCTGGAATTGGGCAGAGGAGCAGGTGTCCAAGGTGACAGTTTGGGAAGTCTGATGGTTTCTCCCTTGCCTGACAGTGTGACTGGCTGTGATGCCTGCACCTTTACTGTGCAGCTGACTGTGTTCTCAGGTATTTCATAGGCGAGCGGTCCTTGAGAGGCTGGTCAGAACTGTGGATCCCCCAGCCCTCCCCGGCCGGGCTCTGGGTCTGTGTTGCGGGTCGGGTTAGGATAGGACTCTGCCGGGACCTGACCAGGGTTGTTGGGCTCCTGACTTCTCTCGCATCTGAAGCTCCTCCGTCATTCCCTCCACAGCTGCCCGTGTGTCTGTGGCCTGGTGATCCTCTGCTGCTGACCTGAGCCCTCCCTGTGACACAGGCGTCCGTAGAGCAGGGCTCGTGCGTGCCTGAGAGTTCTGTGTCCAGCGCTTCTCGCCAAACACCAGTGTGTTGTTTAACCCGCAGAGTGAACCATTTCAGGGCACAGCACCTGCGCATTACATGAGACTTTGGTGGAGGTCTGTGCGTCAGTTTAGCAGGAGGTGTTGTTTCCCTCCAGTGAGGGCTAAAGTCTGTGTGTGCAGTGAGGAAGGATGGTCTCAATCAGGTCCTCGTTCAGGTCTCTGATATGAGCCGCACATACTGCCCGACAAAGCAGAGGTCCCCATTTTGAGCACCACAGTCAGATGTTAAAGCAACAAAGAGATGGGATACTATTCTGAGCATTTGAGATTCCTTTCCTGATGTGTGTGAAGTCTCAAAGTCAACTTTCTTTTAAAGTAAAACCTTGAGTATATTTTGAGGCAGTAAATTACTCATGCAGGTTTGCAGGTTCACTCTGAAGGCTTTAGTACACATGTTTTATATACTATATTTTTAAACCATGTGAAAGAGTCCTATACCTGCATCATGGAAACCAGATCCTTTTAAAATATCACTGTGTGAAGGGGAGGTGGAAATTAGGGACTAAGCTGCAAGGGTGTTCATAGTTTTCCCCATGCCAGTTCCCCCACCCCAGTCTCTAAAAATGTAATTTGAATTTAAAATTCTTCACTGTATTTAATTTTCTAAGTCTTCATGGTTACAATTTGGAGTAAAATGTGCCTAATTTTCCATTACATCTGTTCTTGGTCTGAATGTCTTCTTGTTTAATTCTTAAGAAATGTCACACAAGTGTCTTCATTGACCTTGAAGAACCTTGCAGTATACAGAGTTGCCTTACAAAGCAAAGAACACCTCAAATTTTTGCCTTTTTTTTTCTTAAATAGGGAAGAGTTTTTGTCAGATATATTTTCTGAAGATCCAAATAATTTAAAGGCATGCCTCTGCCACTTAAATATTATTTTTAACAACCCACATCCTTGCGTGCTGCCAGTGTTGTGTTAAACTGGAATCTTCCGTTGTGTCATCGGGAACGGGCACTTGATAGTGGGGCACAGCAGCAGCCAAAGAAGGCATCATGGAAGCCGCACCGCGTGTCCTTCACATGGCGAAGATCCTCTCGTTAGGCTCTGGTGAGGTTGCCGAGGGCAGTCCTTGTTCAGTGGTTGGTATAAAGCAGGAAGAAGTCGGATTCCCCAAACCCCAGGAGTGATTAGAAGTGTTGATTTACATGCACAGAAATCATGGGCTCCATAATTGTTTGTAAGCAGAAATGAGTAAATCTTAACTTCCAGCATCTGCCCAAATACTTGTATTTATGCTTTTGGTAGGATGTTATTTTCAGCATTAGTACACATATCCGGTTATGCCTTATTTATATGAAGAATAAAGTTACCAAGTCATGTTCTGCAATGTTCTGAAATTCAAATCACTGTGAGAAACCCTCAAATTGGTGCTTTCATTATATAATGAGACATTGCGGCAAAGCCCCAAACCAAGCCGTCTGAAACGAGATTCTCTCCATTGCAATCTGTAGAAGTGTTAACTTCTGTACGTGTATTGAGAAGGCTGCCTCTCAGTGTTAACTCTCCATTTCTTGTTTGAATCCACGAAATCATGCCTGTAAATCTCAGTCACACATTTGTAATAATCTCCCTAATAAACCTAGAGAAAGTTACCGTTACCTTTTCATTTCTTTTCATGAAAGAAAGTAATTGAGGGATCAAGAGCACAGGTTCTGCATGTGTCTTTTTTTTTTCAGTTGAAAATCTGACACTGTCTTTCACATCATTTCAACACACACAGTGACATTACTCAGAGGTGATCTGTCCATAGGTCTGTGCTGCTGGACTAGAAGTGCTGCTTTTTCCTTCCTTCCTTCTCGTGATAGGATCCAGAGTGGCTTTTCAATGTAGTAAACACGAGGAAGGGAGGGAGTGTGTGAGTGTGTGTGTGTATCTCCACGTTCCAGATAAACAGTAACATTCCCATTATTTTATGGTACGAGGTGAGGGCTTAATAAATTTGTAGAGAGATTAAAGTGAAGTCTAAACCTGGACACTTGGTCATCAAGATGAACTTAGTGGCTTTTTCAGTACCATCAGCTTGCTACTAGCCTTGGCCTGTTAGCATAACTTGCAGCACGCCGCTAGCATCCTTGTGTCTGTACTTGAATGTACAGTTAGCATATAAAGAACTCAGCCTCGCGGCGTCTAGGTGTAAGCGTCTGATTTCCAACGGCAGAGCTTACATGGAACAAAAAAGTGTTAGTGGTAGGGCAGTGATTTCTTGGTTGGTAAGAGATTTTGTGACCTTTCCAAAACAGCATCACCTCTGAGTGATGAACATTTCCAGATGGATGGAAGCAGGGCTCCAGGGGGCATCACTGTCAGTTCATGAAATCTCCTGATAGGAGGCTCCTTACTCAGTCTCTGATCTGGGCTTGTCTCGGAAAGCCTGTTTGTAGTATTTCTTGCCACAGTTAAGTGTTGTGTTTGTCCTCAGTCATGCCTGTTTAGGGGTTAATTCTTGTAAAGGACCCGTAACAATGCAGCAGACTGTACCGTTTACCCTTTCTTTCCCTCTTACTTGAAAGCAGAATCGCAACATGTTGAAATGGCTTTTCCCTGCTGCTCCAGCCTGGTGGAGCTCATTTACCACAGAAGCCTTATCAAAAAGTCTATTTTGTAACAACCTGGTAGATACTGTACCTAACAACATGATTTGTATTAGCTCTGTATCAAAGTCATTTGCGGCTTCAGATTTTTTATACATCTATCTTTTTATAACTGAGAACTGAGCACATCATCTGGTAATTGTTGTACATTTTTTTTTTCTGTCAGTGCTTTAGGATTGGCAATAAATTATTTCTACAGGAGGTCTGAAAGTGGAAAGAATGATTTGATTTGATAAAATGAATTGCTAGTCATCAAGGCTTTTTACTTTTGTACATATTTTGCAAAAATTTTGCCTCTTGCTATTAATATTTGCTTTGTAAAAATTACTGACGTTTAATAAACATTTATAAACTGTCCCATACTATGATGTTATTTAAACTAACTCTGATTAGTGTCAAAGTAAAGCAGATACTTAAAGTCTGAAAGAAGTTCCGCCCAGTGACTGGAACCTTAGAAAGTTCTCTTTTGGCAGATCTCTGACGATACTTTGACTTAAGTTAGTCTATGAACGTTTCCTCACTGAGGAAGGGATGTGGACTTGAAGAAAGTTCCCAAACATTCGTTTTGATGTGGGAGCCAGGAGCAGGAAACACCACCTTTTCTCTCTGCTGCTCTTAAAATCACTGAAGTTGTGCACAGGTGTCTGGGCTCAGTTTGTCCACCTGTGAGTCTAACGCTGTTACGTCTTTTGTAGCTGAAATGGCATTTTAAAAGCAAACTGGTATGATACCACTCCTTTTTTTGTTTCAAGGAACTTTATGATTTACCGAAAAATTGCAAAAATAGCAGTTTCCTAAAACTCCACACTGTGGGTGACAGTTTCCCCAGGTGACATCGTGAACTGTCCTAATTAATATCTTGCATTACACTCGTGTCCCATAGTAATCCATTTGTTAAAATTAATGAACCAATATCGATCCTTTATTCTTACCTAAAACCTGTACTTCATTCAGATTTCCTTAGTTTTTCCCTGCTGCCCCTTTCTATTCGAAGTCCATGCATCCAGGACACCTTCTTACGATGACTTGCCCTGTCTGGGCTCCTCT